GGTAGGTGACGTTGATTGTTTGAGGAGGAGGATGAGGATGAGGGGGTTTGTGAGATGCGAGATGCGAGATAGGGTAGTCTCGGTTGTTGGTGGCTTTGGCGAGGATTTGCGATACCCTAATTACCACCTTAGGTAGGTGTCTTCCCTCCCCCGAACCGGTTATTGGGGACGTGATGGGATTGTGATTGCGACGACGGGATAAGAGATGCCGAGATGATATCAGGGCGTCGACCGCGCTTCGCGACTGGGTTGTCCTCCCTTCCTGCCCGGATTTGTTGCGGCGGGCGGCGGCGGATGAATACCGCTGAGGGAAACTGCGTCGGTCGGGACCGGACGTGGACCGGTGTTGTTCGGGTGTGTGGGTCCCGTCTGCTGCCGCCCCGTTCGCGGTCGGCGGCGGAGTGCGACGTGATGCGGAGGAATGACTCTCATCCCTGCTGTAATATACACTACTTTTGCGTCCCCTGGCGATCGTATCGATCGACGGTGTTATTTCGGGATGATTGGGTTTCGTTGAGGTTGAAGTTTTATTTATTTTTTTGTCTATTCAGCCGCTTTTTGCGGTCACAGGCGTCAGGTTCTGGGATGGAGTGCAAAACTCAACTAACGTATATTATCACTTTTGAAGCTTGCTTGCTACCGAAGGTAGTTATTAGTATGCCGCGTGGGCAAGAAACACTCGATGCAGCACGAGCCCAAGATAGCAGGTAAAACGAGTAGTTGGAATCTCCAACTCCAAGCAGAGAAAAATCTACCCAGGCTTAGATATTGGCCCATTTTCGTCTCCGTGAAGAGCACAACAGTCGACTGAGCTATTTCTTCGTCCAGGTCTAGCCTTGGGTATAATTGCAGCTGAATACTCTGGGAGAACAACCGGACGAAGGCAACGTCTTGCTTTCATCAAGTGGCATTAGCGAACCCTGAAGCTGAAATACTGGTCTCAAAGAGGTTACATCAAGACACTGGTTCTGCAAACGATCCTCTTCAGGACCGGCTTGAGCGACGCTTAGGTCATCTAAGCACAGCACAATCCTTCGCCATCTCTTCCGGAGGACTCGACGTTTCCAGTAGCAGGAAAGGGAATGTTCCCTTTTATAGGCCAAAAAGAGGACGCCGGCGAGCAATGCTTGAACCAAAACTAGGATTACGAGTCTAATGACTACCTCAACGACGATCAGGGTGAAGCATACAGTGATTCCGATCTGAGTCAGAGCAAGATGATCGACGAGATTGGCTGCTGTCGGCCACCTAGTTAAGACGTCCAAAAACTTCAGCCGTCTAATTGAGCGCCCAAGGCATCTCTACTAGATCTAGACAATGTGCTTGGCTCCGGTCCGGGTAGGTGTAAGAGGCATAGCATATTCAGAACTCAGTCTTGACCTGCCTTACCTACTCCTTCTTTCAATCTCAGCCTCCACATCATCTTGGCTCTTGCAGCCTCCTTCCGGAGACCATACTCATCGGCCACAGACCGCTTCCTCTTCGCTTGAGCTGATAACTGCGCCATCATCCTTCCCTGAAGGTTGACGATCTGTGTCGAACTCACCCATGCGTCTCAACTTCCGTCATCTTTTGCAGTGTATTGGCACGCGAATACAGTCAAGACGGCTCAAATGGCACATGGCGCAAAGTTGCGCTTGGGGGGGTACTGTGGAACGAGCCGTCACGAAGAGATTAGCACCATCTCCAAAGCTTCAAGAAGACGAGTGGGGCAACTGTTCCAGTCTAGCAGCCCAAGCAGCTACTACTACAGATGCATGCTAAAGATCTAAGAAAGTTTGCGTGCGTCGCAATCTTATATAATGAAACTTTCAGCCCGCCGCGAGGAATCCCAACGCAATGCCTTCTGGTGCCATGTCGAACGTCCACAGGTTCCAGCCGGTCTGTAGTCTCTGCCGGGTCTTTACCCATCACCCAAATTCGAAGCGGGCCTGTTCGCGTATGTACGTCCGTCTTGAACAACAGCGAGAAAAGGCAACGCTTATGTTTGATCCCGGGCGATGAAAGCGTGTTAAAGATATTTATTGACGACTGCAGCGGGCTTTTTGTGGTCTGAGGCTTTTGCTATCCAGTGGAGCAAGCCGAAGGATCGCGAAATCGGTTAGAAGCAGCCGGCTCGAAGAGAATGTCTTTAACCACATTGTGTACGGGGGGCACCCTGGGCAGCCTTGGGACATATTGAAATACCACTGAGAATAAGAGACAAACGTCAAGAAATGTCAGTGACGGACGTTCTACTCTGCAGGATGACCTGACGCCTGCTGTGGCGCTGGTGATTACTTATTTGCAATTTTGCTCTTGCCAAAATTTGCCATGGTCATAAGGAAATGGCCATTTGCTTTAACAAGAATCGTCTCACAAAACAAGTAGTTTACTTATATATGCGAATGCGCTGCGGTCGTATCATCGGGTTTCTGCTGTGGCGTCTAGTACGATGTTCTTGTGAAAGGCGAATGATCACACATAGGCGTATTCCCTTGCTGAGAACCCAGTAAGAGTCGGTCTTGACAGCCAATAAGCTCCAATCTAGTTGTCTTCATAGTTTCGGAAACCGAGCGACACTGTCGAAGACGGGCTTCTCTCTAGCTCTTCGGGTTTCCGTCTCTGTCTTCGTCCATGCCTCTGGTCTGTGTCCTGTGCATGAGAATATTCGTTGCAAACACTACCAACTACAATATCCATCTTGAGAGACTGCTGATGAAATAGTTTAGTAATCTGTGGCGTAAGAGATAAGAAGAGGGGTCACGGGGTACAATTTGCAGTCGTCTTCGTCATATACAAGTAGGGTATGGATGCGTCGACAAAGGGTGTCTTACAGCTGGAGAAATATTGCTCACCAGTCCGATTCAAAAAGATATTGGCGCAGTTCCTGCAATTCGCGGCGTTGACAGGTTCGAGGAATCAAGAATCGAAGTTGCCATGGGTGTTTGCAATTAGTTTCGGTTATCAAGACTCACACTGTCAGCTGAGATCATCCTAGTGCATGTGTATTCATTGACAAATACTTGACTAGGACTGGAATCCAAAGACGAACTATATGCCGACCAAGATTCAAACATTGCGATGTTATGCCTTGTATAGTCCAGTTCTGACAGCCAAGGACAGGACATGATTTGCTCGGCGCCCGCTGACAGAGAGGGCCTACATACATGAATGTAGTTCGCGGCAGACTCGTTACTTGACTTATACCTCTACGCCACTATGCGTCGAGTTTACGAATTGGACTGCAGGAATGGGAGCCGTTTGATTAGACCGAGACCGCAAACACTATAAAAGACGTAGGCTTTAACAGCCTTACCCTCTCTCTCTCACGCATTGGCTTGTGAGGTGTTGTTTTTGTATACGGATCTCAAAGACATCACTTCACGCAGTATCAAATCCCACAGTACCAAATCACGCAGTTGAAAATGGTTCTGAGACTCATAAAAGGTCTGAGAAATAAGGAGAGCAATAACTCCGGAGAAGCAGAGGTACCGGACGATGACCGTGACATCCGGTCGTTTTACTGAGTCGCGGATTTCTGTCTGCACAACGCAGACAACCGGCTGTTAGCCAGCATGGATGATGTCCTTCCTGAGTCACCAAATCTTGGTTAAGTTTGAGTAGCCAGGACCAGGTTCAGCGTCCAGTTGGCTGTGTAAAATGTACTCCTAAAGATACGAGATTTAAACCAAAAAGCTTCTAAAATCGTATGCGGGCTTGGGAAGATCAACATTCACTTGGGGAAAGGCACTCGTGTGTCTCGCGTGACGTAAATGAAGCCGGCTATCAGCCCAGTCCTGATCACATCACTTGACAAGCATAAATGCATCATTTTTTTTTAGATTTGCTTGACGGGAAAACGTTTTACCTTCTCCAGTATTCCCAATTGTGAAAGCCAGAGGAGCTTGGATCAAGGCCGACGCGCACATCGTCGATCGAGAGGGTTGACAAACATGAAGAGTGTCACACGGTACGCCGCCTGCTGTTCGTCACTTCTATCTTCCTCGACTTATACGTCGAGGTATCACTACAGAAGTTCTCGAACGCGAAGGAACGCCGACAGCTGTAGCTGAACGATATCCAAGAACCGCTGTGTGTTCACCTCGCCATCTTTTGGTTATCAATTCCTGATGGGAGACGAAGACGATTCCGACTGGCAGAGTTTCTGTCTGGTCATTTCAAATGCAAGAGTCTTAAATAACGTACGTTTATTGGAATCTTAAGCCAGTCATAATATAAGGCCGACTGCTTCGGCCTGTTCGTAACCCCCGCGAGGAGTCCAGCCTGTCGATATTAGATCTGAGGGCAGCTGCTGATATTGCAGGTATAAAACCACCATTTTCCTTCAGCCATAATGACTTGTCGAACCAAATGTCACGGTTGTAGTTCTGAACATCTTTGGAAGGAGACGTCCCCCGGCAAAATAACGACTCCGGCGCATGTTCATGGCAGAAGATACACAAGAACCTCAACGCCCACACGCGAGCGAAAAGGACAGGAACTCCGTCATCCGTCGTTGTCCTTGATGTCCGTGGAGTATCCATTCATAATAGTTTCCTGTACGCAGCTATTGAATAGGGGTTGTCGATGTCGGGCGCAAGCCTGACGAACTGGTTTAGTCGGCAGCATCCGACCTCAACACCGGGAGGAATCAACATCAACGACACATCACTGCGCGCTGTCAGAAAAATTGTGGCGGTCTTCGGATCTGTTGTAGTACTGCCGTCGACAAGATCAAGGACAGTTAACTGAAGGGGGAGCGGACGGATTGTGGCCTCATGGAAGAGCACCATGGGCTGTTCCCACCCGTCTCTGCCAATCTTCGTGACATGAGAAAAGGCAAAGGAAAATAGACTCGTTGTGATGCATATGGATATCCAATTCACCTATATGTATAGAAAATAGAAAACGTCCTGCACCGGACGTATACCACTTTTCGTGACCCAAGCCGTTGCGTTCATCACGGCCGGTCTCATTATCCAATCATTCTCATGAAAAAACCAATGCACCTCCCACTCTCAATGCTCATTAATGCGCCTCACATACGGCGAAGGGAAGAGTCCTTTGGCGCCCATATAAACCCCAAAGAACCAATCCCCGTTCACGTCCTCAATCTCCCTGATCTCGGCCCCCCTCGGGAACATCAGCTCATCCTCGGCCTTGGGGAACCACGGCCACGCCGCGGCCGCCTTTATCCCGACACCGCCGTCCGGCGGGAAGCCCTGCGCCAGGCCCTCGCCCGTCGGCGCGTCCTCCGCCACGTCCCTGGTGACGAAGCGCTCGCGTTTCTGCGACGCCTCGGTCCACCACCACTTCTGGTGCGCCTCATCGTCGCCCGCGGGCTCCATGCGCAGCCCACGGCCGCCTACGAGGTCGGCCAGGACGTGGCGGAGTTGGCCGCCCGGTCCGTCGCGGAAGCCGACGACGACCATGCGGTGGCCGTTGAGGCAGCGACGCCAGCCCGCGTGGCCATTCTCTGGGCTGATCTGGCTGCGGGCTTCGAGGTTGGCGTAGCAGTTGGTGCAAATGTCGTAGTCGCCCGGGTATGTGTCTGGCTCGATGGAGCTCGTGCAGGTGAAGCAGTGATACCTGCTGTGGCTTGGAGTGATAGGGTCCTGACACAGGTCACAGCGGGTTGTGAATGTGAGAGGTTTGAAAGGACCGATGCTATGAATGTTCGGTCCCGTCAAGACAGCCGCGTAGTGAGGAGGGAGCGGCGATCGGGGGCTCGCGGGCGGCGTATGGGATTGTTGAGGTTGGTATGTCAGGGGTAGGAGGGGGTGAGTACAGGAACGTCCCTGGTTCACGCAGTTATTGCAGAATCCCCAATCGCCCATGTTGCACACGTCGCAGCGCCAGAAGCATTCGTTCGCCCAGGACTGGCACCGCGCGCAGAAGTTACCACTTTCCAAACGTTTGACGGGGTCTTCGGTGGTGAGCGTCCGTCTGCCCTCTGCTCCGCCAGGAATGATTTTGGGTTGGAGGTACCGGTTCGCCGTCAACATGTGAGGCTTAGGGATGTCATCTTGCGCGGCTTGTCGAGCCCTTTCCCATTTTGCCCACGCACCGTAACCAAACCCAAACCAATGCAAACAGCCCTTGCTCGACCTGTAGCAGTCAAGACAAATGTTCCAGTTGCCGCTCGCACAAATGCCGCAGTTGTAATGGAGTTCATACTCGATATGCGGCTTTGCGCATCGTGAACATGTGATTGAAGGTTCAGGGTATAGTTGTGAGCGCGTGCGTTGGTGGCCGGGGGAATTCGGACTGCCGATGCCCAGGCCTACTGGACTGGACATGGCCTGGCTGACGATAGACAAGTCCGCCGGTCGGTTCTGTCTTTGAATACGAGGCGATTGGGGCTCCATTGGAGGAGATGTGGCAAAGTTTGGAGACACCAGTGTTGAGGGGTTTGGCAGGCGATTAGCGAAAGATTCTCGAGATGTTGGAGAATCACTTGGAGGCTGCGTGGTAGGTACGGACGGCGTACTGGAGCTTCTAGCTTCGCTAAAGACGGTCCTTGCTGCAGATCCATCGCCAAACTGCGTGCGAGAGGCTGATGAAAGATCCGTTTGGGAGCGAGTTGCCACTCGGGTTTCCGACTGGGTCGCTGGGAGGGGCGTGGTCGCACTGCGCCCGCCACTTGATGTTCGCCGCCTTCTTCGCCTCTCCTCAGGCCGGACTTCGAGATGCAACGCGCTCTGAGAAAGTGGTGGTCGACTACGATCGTCAGCAACACCTGTCGCACTTGTTGATCTTGAGTGAGGTCGTTGTCTGCTCGACGGTCTGCTGTTGTCCGATGCGCTAGCCCTAATCTCCTGCACACGATCAGGAGAGGTTCTCGACCGTCCGCTGGCGTTGCTTCTTCGTGTCCCGTCACCCCGCGTGCGGTCTCGTTCTCGCTCTCGTTGTCGTCTTCTGTAAGCCTCCGTGATTTTCCGGCTTAACTCATCGTTCCGGCTCAGGTCGATATTGTCGAGATCCAGCCCGTCCAGAAGACCTTCTTCTTGAATCTGCCTTGCGAATTCTTCAATTTCCCTTTCGATGTCCCGCTCGCTCAGATCTCCCGAGCTGATGAGGGACCTTAGAGATGACTGGTGCTCAATTTGTCGACGTCGACTTTCGGCAGACAGCTCATCAGCACGTTGTCTCGAGTCGCTTCTCCGCCTTCTCCTCTGTTCGCCTGACGAATCTGGTTGCAGCTGGTCGCCGTAAGACCGGCCCTCTTCGGTGCGGGGTCGTCGACTGCCCTCATGTCGGTGACTGTGACTTCTGTCCCGGCTCGGGTCTCGGCTTCGTCGTGTTCGGCCGTCAGCAGAGCTGCTATCCTGCCTGCGTCTCCGGTGTCGAGGAGCGTGGGACGATTCCACGCCGACCTCTCTCAGACTCATCTCCCGCACCTCTTCCAGCAGGCGGCGCTCCTCCTCTTCCGCCCGCCTCTCCTCTGACGTCCTCTCTGGGCTCCTAATTCGTGGTAAAACCTTGTCGCCTGGCTTGTACTTCTTACTCATCTCCTCCATATCCGCATCGGATCTCTTTCGGTCCGGGTTCGCCGCGATGAACATGTCGAGAAGGGTCGCGACGGTGGCATTGTGCCTCGTATCGCGGACTGGGGCACGGCATGACGGGCAAGTGAAGATATTCGTGCCCGCGGGCGGAGGATTTGGCGAGTTCTCGATCTGCTGAGACCGGTAAGAGAACCAGTCCTTGAGGCATGCGCCGCAGTAAGTGTGCAAGCAGTCGAGGAGGGTCAACGGCTGGTAGAGGAGTTCGGCGCAGATCTGCAGAGGCGGGATCGGTCAGCGCAAAAAGATGTTGAAGTGCCCCTCCCTCTCCGCCTTCTAGGGCGGCGCTACAGGGCGTTGGATCAGACGAGAATGGCAGATAACTTACAGAGCACGTCAGCTCCTTCTCCAGGTCGATGCCAGGCTTTGAGGAATCCATGCGGCACCACGCGATCGCAGAGATGCCGGACACCAAGGCAACATGAATGTCGTGGAGGAGAATTGCCCAAGATGCGCCCGAGGGGACATGGTCCGTATTAAGACTGGGCTGGGCTGAATGTTGGCGAGCTGTGTGGCGGGGCTTTGAAAGGCTACCTTAGGCACGCCAGCGCCTGTCGCCTGTGATGGATGGAAGGATGGATGCGACGGCAGCCCAACCCCACGCTGGTGCTGGTTCCCGTCCCGCCCGCTACTGGCCCCTAATCCCTGCTGGTAGCTCAAAGCATCCCAACTTTCCGCCGTAAGGAACTGAGTCTGAGGTCACAGCAACCCATCCGACATCCCTTTCAGACAGGTCACCCCCTGCAGACTTTCTGGGAATACGAACTCAATGCCCACGACGAGCCTTCAGGTTCGACTGCGTATTTCAAAAGTTACGACACTTTACGGGTCTGACGTGAGTGAATCTTTCTGCAGTTTGCAATATACTTTCGGCGAGGCTCGGTTGAGGCGGACTCGCAGAAGGAAACAACCCTCGACTAAAATCCAGCTCCTTTACGAGAGGTTCTCAAAATAGGCCATCCTGATTCCTAATTCCGGCTGATGGAGGATGAGACTGACATCTAGACGAGCGAAGCCAAGCACGCTCGCTGACTGTGCACATGCATCGTCCCGTTCGAGTCCTGTGGTCGGATTCCTCCAAATAAGCGAACGAACATGGTGACACAACGTTTTGTCTTGCTCAGATTCATACACAGCTCATATATTGATCTTTCTCAGTCAATACACCCTATGCCTTTAAGAGTGAGTCCACTCCGCCTTCTTCTTCTCCGCGAAGGCCTTCATGCCAATCTTCTGATCGTTGCTTCCGAACAAGCTGTGGAACACCCGCCTCTCGAATTCGACACCGTCTCTCAACGGCAGGTCCTGGCTCTTGTTCACAACTTCTTTGCAAGCGTTGATGGAGACGCGAGAGTAGCCGGCAATTGTCTCGGCCGTCTTGAGCGTCTCCTCCATGAGGACCTCGTAAGAGGGGAATGCCCTCGCCGCAAGTCCCCACTGGGCGGCATCAGTACCGCTGAACGACTTGCCGGTCAAAATCAGCTCCATGGCCTTGGACTTGCCAATGGCACGGGTCAGTCGCTGACTGCCTCCAGCGCCGGGAATGGTGCCGAGCTTGATCTCTGGCTGGCCAAAGTTGGCATTCTCGGTGCAGTACAAGATGTCGCACATCATCGACAGCTCACAGCCTCCTCCGAGCGCGTGACCCGAAACAGCAGCGATTATGGGCTTCTTGATCTGAGTCGTGAGGAGTGACCAAGACTCGATAAAAGACTTGGTGTATGCCTCGGAGAAGGTCAGCGGAGCCATTTCCTTGATGTCAGCACCAGCAGCAAAGGCCTTCTGGGAGCCCGTGAGCACGATGACGGATGTGTCATCCGAGTCGTTGAACGCCCTCAATGCATCGTTGAGTTCATGAATGAGAGGAGTGCAGAGAGCGTTGAGAGCCTTCGGGCGGTTCAACGTCACTAAAGTGGACCTGTATCAGCATCACCAAGTAAACGAAACGCAGTTGGAGGGATGCTCTCACCTTGTCCGACACCGGGTCTCGGCTGAGAAACTTGAATGTATTCGTACGAAGTGCTGGCATATCCGCGAGCCAGTCTGGGCAACGTCGGGGCCTGCAATCGCGAGGCAATGGGCCGCAGGTATCTGAAGGAGTTCATGGTAACGGAGCTTCCGGCGTAGCTTTGACGGAGATAAGATCCACGAGACTTGATCGTGAAAGTAAGCCGAATCGGACGTTTATGCTGGACGACACTTGTACCACCGAATGATTTGAGAGGAGAGTCGGAACAGACGATGTCCTCGCACGGGATGGACTTCAATTGGAACAAAACTGGTGGAGAAAGCCGTGTTGATTAGTGACGGTGATGTAAGAGGTCAAACTCAAGCTCGAGCTCTCCCCCGAGCTTCAAGGGAGAGCTGGAAAGCATCGGCTCCCGTCCCTCCTCAGGGCCGAGGATACAGTCGGTCGCAAATGAAGCACGGACTGCACACTGTGGGCATGTCCCCCGCGTCACAGGCTCGTCGTTCTGGGCAGCACCCGTGGACCTCAGTAGGTACGTAACGCAGCACACCCCTGTCCAAGACCCGTTTCTTCAGATTTGCTCCACCACGTTTCCAAGCTCCCGCCCGTCAAGCTGGGTTTAGTGGGAAACTGCGCCACAAGGGCCCTCGTTCTGGCCCCCTTCCTGCCTCTTTCAGGGGACCCAATCACTGAAGTGAGTTGCTAAACCGCCGGGTAAGATTCGGGCTAACAGCAGTTGCGAATCACTGTTGGGAAGCCTTACGTGGCTGAACCTACTGCTATTCCAGCGATCCCGCCCGTCAACCCAAAAATTCGTCCGGACAGATCGCGACATCGCAAGTCATTCTTATCTTACTAGCACCATCGCGCATCCTCTCCCTTGGTCGACGAGTCTTCACGACAACACGGGTACATAGATCATTTTCTAGTCACGGTCTGGCTTGAGCCATTCGCAACTTGCCCAAGATGGATACCATGGAGCCGGAACAGACCCCTTTCTCCTCCGTTACCACGCATACCTCCAAGATTCAAAGAGTACGCAAGCCTACCTATTCCAAGTCACGCGATGCTTCGATCGTTCTGGCTAACCCTCGCGCAGCAATACCAAGCACTCCTCGACCAGTCAACGCCATTTGTGCTCTACAGATGGATCGGCACCGGTGTCTGTCTCCTCGTCTTCTTCGCCCGCGTCTTCCTCGCGCAAGGCTGGTACATCGTCGCATACGCGCTCGGCATCTACCTTCTCAACCTCTTCCTGGCCTTCTTGCAGCCCAAGTTCGACCCGTCCAATGAGGCGCTTGACAACGAGATGGAGGACGGAGGCGTTGGCATCCTCCCGACCAAGCAGGACGAGGAGTTCCGCCCCTTCATCCGCCGCCTCCCCGAGTTCAAGTTCTGGTACTGGGCAACTCGCGCCATCCTCATCGGCTTCTTCTGCAGTTGGTGGGAGATCTTCAACGTTCCCGTCTTCTGGCCCGTTCTGGTCATGTACTGGTTCATTCTGTTCTTCCTGACGAGTGCGCAACCCCCTCCCTGCCTGCTTAGCCTTGGCGCAAAGCTGACCAGAACTCTCTATAGTGCGCAAGCAGATCCAGCACATGATCAAGTACCGCTACGTTCCCTTCACCTTCGGAAAGAAGAACTACGCGAAGAACTCCTCGTAGGAGAGGTAACGCGACTGCTGTTGCACTGAGTAAAGCTCGATGCCACACGCTCTGAAGCGGCGTAGGCAAGAAAAAGTCTGGGCATGGGTTATAGACAGAATGCGACGGCGAACGCCTGAGAGTGCAAACACTTATGACGAGTCTGGACGGCGCGGACGACGGTGACGACGGGGGAAACTTGTACGTATAGAAATTGGCGTCGGTATGAGCATGGCGAACTACACGGGGCGCATCAGGAAACGCTCCTGCACGGTCGGGAGTCATTGCGCCATTGATGATTGATGGTCTGGCTTTGAGATCCTTCATCTCATACTACGTATTTTAATATAGACAGACAGAAAAAATGTCTGCTACCTTTCATGTTGGTTGTCGCTGCTCAATTTGACAGCTTGGTGCTGGTGCTCGTCTGATAAGGCAGGTAAGTTGTTGATAAGGCTCACGGTCCGGGCGTTGGCGTTCAATTGGCGCTGCGCAGTCAGAGTACCCCGAATCTCAGCCTCGTGGAACTTTTCCGGGTCACTTGCACCTACCTACCTCAACGCGACCGCGACCTCATCCCTCCAACACCATCAACTGAACTCACCTTAATTTTCTGACCACCTTAATTCGAAGCGGCCACCACGATCGTTACGGGTAGCATCGAACCGCCGCCATGTCTTCTTCCGCGCCTCGCAGCGGCGAGCGCGTAATCCATCAGGATTTCATCGCAAGAATCAGATATTCCAATGCCCTGCCACCGCCTCCCAATCCGCCCAAGTTGCTCGACATTCCGAACACTGGCCTCGCTAGCGGCCAGTACACAACACCTGGCTTCGCATCACGTCTTGCCAGAGAACAACCCCTAAACATCGAAGTCGACGCGGAGCTGGGTATGCCGTTGGACCTGGTAGGCATGCCTGGTATCTTCGACGGAGATGAGAGCTGTAAGCGCGACGACTTGGTGGCCACGAACAGAGCTCCAAACTGACATTTTCCAAGCTATTCAAGCGCCATCTCACCCTCCTCCCGTTCACCCTCACGATAGACCCCTCCTCAGACCGCTGTCCACTCTGGGCCGAGCCAAGAGCAATGCCGAAGCATCAGTCTCCTTCCTCCGCAGAACGGAATACATCTCCTCCGTCATGCCCCGGAAGGGTGGCGCCGGCGCTGCTGGTGCTTTCATCAACCCCAAGCTCAAACGCCCGGAGAAGCGCCGCTCCCCCGAGCCGGACAAGGACTCGCCTGCCGCCATCAGACGCAAGATCGAGAAGAGCTTCGAGAGCGCCGAGCGCTTCATCAGCAATCCCTCCCGACACCGTCACCCGAGCAAGCCCAACGTCTCCCTCGTGTCCTCCTACCCCCTCCTCCCCGACCCCGACGCGCTTCCCGACTCCGGCGCCTACGTCACCGTCAAGCTGCTCACCAACCCCATCGCCAGCGGCAACAAGTACGACCGCCGCCTCCTCAGCGGTCTCCTGCGCCCCCTCGACAGGAGCGCCGACGAGAACGAGGCCTACCAGGCCGCCCTCGAAGCCCACGAGCGCGACCCCGCCCGCTTCCCGAAGCCCAAGAACCTCATGGACTACAGCTTCTTCCTCCCCGCGACGACGAAGACCGGTGACAACTTCCGCGCCAAGTTCGACCCGGAGAACCCCGACCACGACGACGACGCCCTCTACACCAACAAAAGCCAGGGCTCCGATGGCTTCTTCACGTTCCATCGCCTGCGCGCGTACGAGACCACCAAGGAGGTCGAGCTGGACCACAACACAAAGTACGACGAGGAGCTCATCCTCGCCTTCAACGACGAGCCCTCGGCCGGCAAGCAGAAGGCCGCCTACTACTACCCCGTCATCCAGCGCACCACGATCCGTCCCCAGCGCGCCAAGAACATCGCGCGTACCATTACCCAGGAGGAGGACGTGCAGGCCGTCAGCGAGGTGGAGGTGTCCATCTGCGACCCCAAGGGCACGACCCGCGAGAACATGAAGCGCTACCGCGAGAAGCCCATCGGCTTCGTCGAGGAAGAGCAGGAGCAGGAGCAGGAGCAGGCCGCCGAGGGCAACGGCGAGGGCGCCGCCCCCGGAACGCCCTCAGATCACGAGCAGGACGCTAACGGCGACGAGGAAGACGATGATTAGGAGGTGACTTAGAGACATGTATCCGAATTGGAAATCAAGGGGCGATGCCTGGAAGGCACCTTACAGCTCAGCTCGAGCGCGTTTGTAATAACAGTTCCCCCCGCAGCCAAACCTCTGCATGTGAAGCGGAGTTAGTTGAATGGCCTTTTAGACACGGAGCAAAACAACTTTAGGGAAAAATCAAAAAGAGTCATCATCAAGTAGCGCCATCATGCTCGTCTGGTTCGTGAAATGACTCAACATCAGCCAAGCGACATGGACTTCATTGAATCCAGGGTCGTGATGGAAATTAGGTATGTGAGATCTAACCAGCAGCTTTATGAGACAAGGCAGGTTTTCTCTCCCGCCTCCCCCTCTCTCTCTGTCTCTCTTTCTCTCGTCCAGCCTCTCTATACTACAATTTTTGGGGTCCGGGAGGGCGAGAGGACGACCATCATCGATCAACAACAACAGCAGCAGCACAAGGTGATATCCCCCCTTCAATGGTATAGGCAACAACTTTCTAGAGATAGCAACGCACTTTCATACCCCACACACGTCATGTGTACCAGAACTCCGTTTCTTTGGCCATTTTAAAAAAACCGAATTCGCAATGAGGTTATGACAAGAGGTGAAAAATAAAAGACAGGGATTGAACAAAACACGCCTAAGCCGGCGGCGTGTCGGCGCCTCCAACTGAGAAGCCGATTGTGTCTCTCTGGTCGTCGATAACGCGGCCGTATCTGTAATGAGTTAGTTAGACTGAAGAAAGACGGATGAGATGAAGGAGGACTCACTCTAACAAGAGGCGGAAGAACCAGACCTCCATATCCTCCTTGCGAAGGACCTTGTTCGCCCAGTCGCGGCTGCTGATGGCCATGCGCTCCGCCTCGTTGCGGCCGAGAGCGCCATCGCCGAAGAAGCGGACGGCCTCGAGCCAGTCGTCTCCCTGGAGGCTCAGCGGCACGTAGTGCGCCCACGGGCGAAGCCACTCGAAGTGCCACTCGCGGAAGATGGCGAGCTTGAAGACGAGGGAGCGGGACTGGAGGAAGGCGTAGAAGCGGCCGGAGAAGGCGTTGCCGTCCATGTCGAGGAGGTACTTGTACTTCCAGGCGTCCTGCTGCTCTGCGTGGCCCTGGATCTTGAAGAACTCCTTCTGGGCGTCGCAGTCGCCGGGGTCGCACTGGCCGACGTGGGAGAAGTAGACGTCGACGATGTCGCGGTAGTCGCCGCGGGGGACAGACTTGACTTCCCACTTGGGGTTCTTCTCGTCGCCACGGTTGGTGTATATCTTTGCCTGGTCGGCTGCGTTGAGCTTCTGTACGAGGTGCTGGCGATGCTGGCGGCGCCAGCCGCCGTTGCGGGAGAAGCCACCCGTGGTGGAACCACGCCAATAGAGGCGGTCGGCCTTCTGTTCCCAGGCGACGTCCTTAGACTCATCATAGGCGACCTTTTTGTACCAGTACCACGGTGAAGGATAGAGGATGTCGTTGTAGGAGGAGATCTTGGACTGCGAGAAGATCGGGAAGAGGTCGTGGACGATGTTGTAGGCATTTGGGCGGTCGAAGAAGCCGTATGTCTCACTGAGAGAAGGGGAGAGACAGATATCGGACATGGCCGTGATATTATAGACAAAGCCGAGCTCGCTGACGCCGTACTTGCTGAGGTCGTCGGAGAGCTCGTCCTCCTCGAGGCCGCGCGATGGGCTGTCAGGCGGGCATGACATGCGAGAATGCGTCCAGGTCGGCTGGTGGGCGAAGACGTTGAAACGGGTGCGCTTGTACTCCTCGATAATGTTTCCCTCGCTCAGGTCTCCGGCTCGCTTCGTGAAGGTATTGGATGGGTTCGGGGACGAGTTGGCCTTGGGCATATTGACGTCCTTGGCCCTCTTGACAAGTCGAGCAAGGTCCTCGTGCGGGACCACAACGCGAGGCTCATCGTGGATGTTGAAGGCGAGATCCATGCTGGGCAGCCACTGGATGAACTTGTCGACCATGCCGGAGGTGGCATCGCGCTGCCAGTCCTGGCCGCCCTGGATGTGGGATATTTTGTTGTCGCGGATGAGCAGACCCAGAAGCTTATTGTCGAAACCGAGGGCCTCTCTAGCGCGCGATCGTATCGTAGCGGGCTTCAGACCCCAGAAGGGCGTGAGCATCTCGTGGATCATATCGAACTCGTCGATGAGCTGAACGCCGTTCGCCTTTGCGAACTCGAACCACTTGTCGAAATTGGGCGGCGGGGGGATGCCGTAGCGTCTCCTGTACTCGGCGACGGCCTGTTCCAGCGTCTTGGACTGTCTTTTGAGCGTCGTCTGGAAGTCCTTCTCGGCGTCCGTCATGAGGTGCCACATCGGGTGTGAGCTGGTGCCGGAGGCGGGCTTCGGCCGTCTATCGGGAGGAGGACCCAAGTAACCGGGGCCATCGTCGACGGGCGGTGGCTTCTGGGCCTCTTTCGCTGGTGGAGGAGGATTTTGGGAGATTGGCGACGTCGGTATCGGTCGCTGATCGGCCGGTAGTCTGAATAATGTGTATGCACATACCGTTACGAAGGCGATGATGGCTACGAGCGTCCATTGGCGGCGGCGCATTGTGATGATGTCGCCTGCCCCTCGCGGCAGGCTGCGTCGAAGTGATTCGGGATGTTTAGGGGAGGATGACGGTGCGGAGGGGACGCTGGATCGTGGAAAACACGAGTATGAAGAAAAAGAAAAACCGGCTCAGTGCGTCATCGCATCGAGGACAACGGCGTTGCGCAAAGATGCAGCCGCGTATGCGTTGACGTTGGTGTACAAAGCAGTGGTGTCGTGCCTCTCGGTTGCTGGTCCTTGATGCGATTACCGCCAACGAACTTTCGCTTGGCTGGAGTTGTGCTTCTGATCCGGGCGGACGCTAGACTGGCAGGTTCGTGGTTGACATGCCCCTAAAAAAACCGCCTAGAAGAGCCAAACTGGAACGCGTCCATCCGGCTAGTGGCGCGGCGCTATGAAGGACAGGGGTCATAATTGGACACCTCTAACCCCCCGAAGGTTTGGTCTGGATCATTGAAGACTCGGAGTGACTCTCTTTCTTGAAGCTTGATTTGATGATCAGACTCTTCCCGGTCTACTTGCCTCCCGTCAGCATTTTATTTCAGGCGAAGCTCAAATCGAGGACATGCTCAAAGAACAATCACTAGTTCTTTCAGCATTCAATATCGGATTCATCTTGACCTGCCAGCAGCAACTTTGCCTGTCCATGGGTACTGAGCAGGCTGCTCAGGATGCTTGATTTGATGTCGAAATGGCTGTCTATCTACTTGCTAGTCATGAAGTTCTAACTTCATGATGAGGAGAAGAAACAGCACTGATGCAGTTTCTTTTGAGAAATTTGATGGTCTCAGCCAAGGAATCCGTGGCCAAAACATGATTTCACAAAGCAAGTGTCATCATCGCACCTTCAGAGACATGTTTCTTTTGATGAGCTCTTGGAATGCCTCAGAACTCTTTTGAGACAAGCGCATCGACTATGCCGTGAGACATGCTCAAAGAGCAACCAAGCCTTCTTCCAGAGTCCACAGCAGCCATTTTCTCCCATTCTACATCAGATTCTATTTTGAGTTAAGAATCTAAGCATTTCTCAACCTCTTACACTCCGGGGTCGAACTGGCTTTATCCTGGTCTTCAAAGATAGAATGATGCTCAGCACCCATGAAGATCTGGGGAAGAAGCAATGCCTCATTTGGTTGTGCATTTGCGATGCAGATGTCCAAAAGGACGAAAGTCGTTGCCTTTCCGGCGTCCGATGACTCGGCCCTAATTCCTCCGAAGTCGGTGAGACTCTTTCTTTCAGGTGAACTCGGGAACCGGAGGGGCATTCGGTGCTGGCCAAATGGCCTAGACGACGAACCAGAGATGAAACTTTACTTATCGTGTTCGATATTCTCTAAGAGTGTCCCATTTTTCTTGTTTGCCCTCCCTCTCCTATTCCGCCTAATCAACACGGCGACTTTTTACACTCGGGTCAATCTTGATCTCGGTGAGACGGCCTCCAAGCATCCTATCGTAAGCTTCACCTTGCTACCCGAACAGGCAAGAGAGTCGCGGCCCATTCTGCGACCACCACGTGATGGTCAGGCAATGCAATGCAAGTATGTTTTGCATATTTGCGATATCTCAAGAGCTATTTTGCTCCGCTTCGACGTCTCGGCCGTACCATAGCGACCTCCACGTGATGGGTTGTCGATGCGACGCAAGTATGTCGTGCATCGTTTTGTTGACCGCTTTCTTCGTTGCTAACTGAGTCACGTGGAGATACGTCCAAAATCAAATACCAGTCGGCTCAGTATATATAATTATGAAGACTGGTCTACAACTCTCTGTCCATACTCTTGAGCCAAACCAAAACATAGACCAGTCGTCAGCACAAGAGGTCGGTACGTTGGTTCGCAAGGCCAACCTGGCTGTTCGTAATTTAGAAACGACAAGGTATTGAGTAAGTCTAGGAGTATGGTTTTGAGGTTATGACAACCACTCCTTGTTTCAGCATAGAATGTTTGTGTTTCTATCGAGTCTGTACGTGAATCCCTAGTGGTGACATTTCACAGCCCAGGAACATCGTGGAGTCCGGATATTTTCAGAAGCAAAATACCTAGGCGTGGTCAAAAGGCTCGGCGAAGAGAAGGCTAGGCGAAGATATACAAGCTGCTTTGGGGACGCTGACTTCGAAGAAGCAAATGAGAACTATCACTGAGGTAATTGGACAACTTGGATTGGTGGATTTGAGGTTGAAGCAGATGTGCGCCGGTGGCAGTGGAATCGCCCATGCAAGCCATCAACTGTGCAGTGAGTGTATAGCGTAATCAAGAAACTACCTTACGGTAGGTACTTCATAATATGGTTGTCAGTCAGAAGCTTCTCAAGGGCTGTCAAGTAAAGCAAATGGCTGATGATGAAGAAAATCAAGTGAGCAAAGCGTCTTGAGTAGCCCCCAAAGACTGCATATACAATACCTACTTTCCATGATTTCACGCAGCTCTGTCTTCCGTTGAATGAACGACCATCGATGTTTGTTGATTTGCCGACCATGAAGGTTAGAGTCGGGAGATTCGCAAGGTGGTGGCTTGTCGGAGCTGTGAGGCCCAGGGGACCCAATCGCAGAGCTAGCAACCTTGGCGGTTTCGCTGACATAATCACAGGGAACCCCCACGCTCTCCCGCCCAACCCCGACCACCCCAGATCCAGATGCACGGCGCGTGGTCATCGACTCCGTTCCCCATCTGAGTGGATGACGGGGTGATCTTGTGAACGCAGCACATGATTGCTTGTCTCCCGCCTCAAGACATACGACGCAAACTCAACCTCGTTCGAAAGCCCTCGTGCCCGACAGCACCCTTGGCTCGGAGTCAGTGTTATTGTTGTTCAGCATTGAACGTGACTGGCCGGTTCATCTGCACCCGAAGGTCCGACGAATGGAGGGCTGAATTAGGTCTCGAACGGCGACAACCCCGATACTCGGCCGGCCTGCGGTCTGGCCTTCTTCGACAACGCATTGCCTTCTTGCGTTCATAACACATCGAACCGATCAAAAAAGATTCAACGCGACGTGCTTCGACCGCCCAGCTGAAGCCTCGGACGAACTGTGCGCCAACTCGCTGCTGGACGCCGATAAAGCCGAGAGTCGCAAACAGCCATGATGGATCGTATCAGAGAATACCTGGGGAAATCCAACAAGCCGGATCGCGAGGAATATGAGCCTCTAGCTGAAGAGGGTCGGGAACAGGAGGGCGCCGCGTTGCTGGATGGTCAAGATGAGGTCCCGTTCTCCTGGACTGAGTACCTGATGTTCGCATGGTTGGGAATGGCCATGTTATGGGCATGGTACGACACAACTCCTCTTCCTCCTTTCTATGGCCCTTTCTAACGATGTATCACAGGAACATGTTTCTCGCCGCTGCCCCCTACTTCCAAGTCCGCTTCCAATCCGACGTCTGGATCGAACAAAACTTCCAATCCGCAATCCTCACCGTCTCGACCTTGACGAACCTCACGGCGATGCTTATTCTCACAAACATTCAATACTCCGCCTCCTACCCCTTCCGCATCAACCTCGCCCTGATACTCAACACAGTCATCTTCTCCCTCTTGACCGCCTCTACCTCCATGTTCCTCGACATCTCACCCGGCGCCTACCTCGCCTTCATCTTGCTCATGGTTGCCTCCAGCTCATGGGCCACAGGCCTGATCCAAAATGGCGCCTTCGCCTTCGCCGCCTCGTTCGGTCGCCCGGAGTATATGCAGGCCCTGATGGCCGGTCAGGGCGTCGCTGGCGTGCTTCCGCCGATCGCACAGGTCATCACTGTTCTCGCGGTCCCCGAGAAAGAGAGCGCCGACGCCGCGGACGCGATACAATCGTCCAGCTCCTCGGCGTTCGTGTACTTCCTCGCAGCCGTCGCCGTCTCCGTTTCTGCGCTGGTAGCCTTTATCCCGCTCGTCCGCCGCCACAACCACATCGTCGAAAGTCGTATGGTCGAACAGATGGCCGAGTCGCTCACCTCTGTGCAGGAAGCGGAGCGAGCCGCCCGGAAGATTGTCTCGCCCCTCCAACTCCTGAAGAAGCTTCACTGGCTGGCGGGGGCCATCTTCATGTGCTTTTCCGTCGCTATGTTCTTCCCCGTGTTCACCGGCAAGATTATCTCCGTCCGCTATCCGGGCGACGAAAACTCTCCTGCCGGGGCCCTGTTCCGCCCTGCCGCCTTCATCCCGCTGGCGTTTTTCGCCTGGAATCTGGGCGACTTGTCCGGCCGCATGGCCACTATCCTCCCGTTCTCCCTTCGTCACCGCCCCGCGGCCCTGTTCGGAGTCAGTCTCGCTCGTCTAGGCTTCTTGCCATTGTATCTGCTCTGTAACATAGGAGGCCGCGGCGCGGTGATTAGCAGCGACTTCTTTTACCTGTTTGTCGTCCAGTTCTTATTCGGTCTGACGAACGGGTGGTTGGGCTCGAGCTGCATGATGGCAGCCGGTGAGTGGGTTGAAGATAGCGAGCGCGAGGCCACTGGCGGATTTATGGGATTGTGTCTCGTGGCCGGTCTGACGACTGGCAGTCTTCTCAGCTTCACAGCCGCTGGAATTTAAGTGCACATTTGGCGTCTGGGTTAATGCATCGTTAGGACTGGAGTTTGTTTTGGGATTATGCATGAGACAGATAATGACTATTGATATCAACATAGAAACGTTTTCTCCGCCCCTTGCTTCACGAACGGCATCGGGTCTTGGTAAGCATCCAGAAGAAAACATGTAGGCCTATCGAATACATCAGAATATTCCATATAGGACATCAGTCGCGTCTAAGTCGTCCACCTTGGGCGGGTCCTCATCGTCGCGGAACTCCCGATACCACTCCAAGATCTGTGGAATCGTATCAAAAACCCACGATGAGAAATCGCAATGCGTCACATATGTGTACCTCCACTCCCACTCCTCCTCATCCTCGTCCTCTTCCCGCTCCCGCCGGCAGTACACAGCGCAAAAAGTCCCCTCCTCGCCCCCGTCCCCCAACTCCCAACCGCCGGCAACCTCCCAAGTCCGATCCAAACCGCTCATGATCTCCTCGGATTTCCTTACAGTCTCCGCCGCCTTACGTCCGTGGTCCCCCCAGCCTTGAATTCTATCCCTCAGGCCCCAAAACAAAAACGACGCGTAATCCTTCGGTAAACCGGGCTCGTCCACGGAATCGACAAACCCCGCCAGCGTCCTCACCTCCGCGGGAATCTCTATCGTTCCCCTCACCTCCTCCCGACACTTGGTCTTCAGCGCAGAGAGCACAGCGTCGAAATACTCGTCCCACCACTCTTGTCTTCTCTCCCCCGCGAGACCGCGAGAGACGGTAACACCGTCGAGACCGAGTCTCTCCGCCAGAGCGTCATACCGCTCCAGCACGTCCCCCGGCGCGGCGATGCCCAGCTCTTCGAAGTCCTCCTCGTCCGCGCAGACGAGCTCTCGTAGGCTGCTCATGCGGAGCTGTTCCACGTCGTCCGCCCCCGCGTCTGCGTCCTCGTCCGGTTCCGCGCTGGCGATGAAGGGGACGTAGACCTCGAGGATCTTGCGGTTTCGGGAGGCGACGTGGGCGCGGTAGGCGTCGAGGGCGGATTTGATTTCGTCTGGTGAGGACAACATGGTGTTGTGTTTGAGATGTGATGTTTCTGTATATGTGTGAACGAGACTTCCCGTTTGACGGGTTGAGCGAGGCAAATTCTGTAAGTTGGTTGCTGTTGCTGTGCCGTTGGTTCCGGAATGGGACCATGAGAGTGGACACCCGTCTTAACTTGCCAATTTAACTGATGGTTGCCTAGATACTCGGATGGTAATCCAGCAGATACTTTTGTTGGTTCAGGGCCGCCTTCGCAGCTAGACAAGATGGTTAGGTACCAAGTGCGTAGACCTCACGATTACTTTGGTGTCTACAGCCAATATGCTGGTCAAGACTCATGCGGTTCACTTCGTCTCGCCAGCCAACACTCGAATGAATTTTGCAATGAATGAACTACGAGAACAGATCAACGAGTTGAACGATTCAAATGCAAACGTAAACGCCTATGGGTATATGGGACTCTATGCATGTCCTCTCTAAGCCACCCTTTCGCCAAATATCCAAATTTGATGCTCCAGCCCATGCTCGATCCCCCCAAAAGAAGCGCAAACAATATTCAAACAAAATCAGTCACCGGACTTTCCTTCGCGGAGATCTCCTGAGCTCCTCCACCTCCTCACGCGACAAAATGATACTCTCCTCCCTCTCTTCCTCCCCGCCCATCAACTGTTCCTCGCCAATCCACCCAGCCTCGAACGCGAATCTCACAACGTCAGCGGCACAGCCGAACGCCGGTACCCCGGCCTTTGCTTCGGGATCCAGGTACTTCCACAGCTCCTTGGTCGCCTTCTTGAACTCTGCGACGTCCTTCTTGTCGCCCTTGAACCCCTTGATCATGTACTGGTACAGATAGGCTAACCACAAAACGTTCGTGTACGGCACGTATACGTCCCACGACAGGGGCTCGCCGTCGGCTGCTTTGGGATACGGCGACTTGTGTGCTGTTGGTGGGAGACAGCCGCGCTCGCCACGGATGAGGAAGGACCGCATTTGGCGGTAGACCTTGCACTGCGGCGCATGAGTGCTGGTGAAGATGCCGAGTTCCTTCTCAAGGTCGAGCGCGATAGGCTCAGACTCGTCGATATTGAGGTCTTCGGCTCGAGAAAGGCCATAGTCAAGAATCGTGATGTCGAGTCCCGAGTACCCAAAATAGGGTCCCTCCTTGCTCCGATCACGGGTCCGGGGCTCTTCGCTTTGCCGTATGCAGAGATTGCCCTCGTGCAGATCGCGGTGCTGTCCCAATTAGTCAACCGTACCTAAGCGCATAGGGGCGAAAATACCTCGAAACAGCTCATTTCTTCGGCCCTGGCCAGAGCAATGGCAACGAGAAAGAAGATATCCCACAGCTGACTCGAATCCGCCAGCTCAAAGTCCTCGAGTGCTGTTCCGGCATCGCCAAGCTCTACGACCAAGAAAACTGTGTCTGCAAGATATCGGCTCGGGCTCGGGTAGAACTGGAGTCTATCCGGATCCTTGCGCTTCATCTTTCGGTGAAAGGCCTGGTGCGTTTCCAGCAGACATTTCGGGGCCTTTCCTTGCACGAGGTAGCGCTCTTTGTACACGACGAACCCCGGAATGTCAGCAAGCCACTCGGAGATGCGCAGCTCTCCCCGCATGTCATCCTCCGAATGGGGCTCCTCGTCGACGAGGCCGGACCGCTCCTGTGCCTTGGTCTGCGGCTTGATTGGCGATTCAAGACGGATGCACTTGATGATGCTGGTGCCGCGCTCATTCCTGACGCGATAGACCTCTGCATACGAAGCCTCGGCAATCTTCTCGATTGTGTCTCCCGGCGGGCAGACTTCGTCCCAGGTGAGGATGCGGTAGTCCGGCTTGGGTTCTTCTTGTGACTCTGGAACCCGAGTCTCTGGAGTGGTCGCTCTCACGGCCTTCGTGGAAATTGGAGTTTTCGCTTTTGGTGTTGTCGGCCTGACCGGTTTGGGGGATTCCTTCACTTGTTTCTTCGGAGATAAAGCCTGCCGCCTTGGGGAGACTGTCTTTGTTGCTTTGGGCGGTGATTCCACCACAATCGAGCCAAAATCCCTCGAAAGTTCATCTTCGGAGGAGTCGTATTCGGCTCCAAGCGCAACGGCGTCAAGTTTCTCGGTGATTCTGATGATCGAATCGTCGTCGGAATCCACGGCCACTGCTACTGTTGTCTTGGGCTTCCGTACTGGACTTTGCGGCAGTTCGCCAAATAGGCGCCGTGCCTTTGACTTTGTCGAGGCCTTGCCATACGTTCGAGTCGCTACAGTCCGCGCCATTCTGCTTGTTGTGTGTTATTCCAGCTTTTGGGGATTCCGAGCAAACTCGCTTCTTCCAGCGCAAGACACCGCAATGACCGTCGTCACCAATGTTGATCGGATTCATGCGGTTGACCAGACAACACCGGCGAAGACGGAAGCGACGTAACTCCGCAGCCGCTGAAGACCCACTAGGACCCGCCAAGCTGGCTCGACCGCATTCGGGCGAGTTATGTGGGGCACGGTTCATTAACCCCAGCTTCCAGAAGAAGCCACTTGACTGGCTGACGACTGGCTTAATTTCGCCTTCTCGTTGGCGATACCTCCTCACAAGCTCGCAGCTTCACTGTCTGCTAGTCTTGCGTCCTCGACAACCCAACGCAGTCAGCCAGCCAGCCATCCCCGACCGCAACCATGGCCGACTTCATCAATGGCCTCTTTGGAGGCGCCAAATCCTCCGCCTCTCCTGTTCCCAGCGGTGATTCTGGTATGTCTTCCTCAATTGCTTCCTCTAGATGTCAAAGCTTCACCCTCGTCGTCTTCCCCTCAGCACCCACATTTCCACCTCCTCAAACTGACGCAATTCTCTACCACGCACAGATTTCGCAGACTTCGCCGGCGCACCTGATCCGTCTCCTACCGGTGCTTTCACAGCTGCCCCCGGCGGCGCGAGCCTTGCTGGTGGCGCCCCCGAAGCCACTGCCCGTCCCTACACGAAATGGTACAACATCCACGAGCGTCACTCCCTGAGCGAGTTCAAGCTTGAGGGAGCTATTCTCGCCGTCAGCGCCATTATTCTTCTGCTGCACCTCTTCGGCTCGCGTCTGAACCGCAAGAAGGCCAAGGCCTGGGCCACTGCTCACGCGTCGACCTTGAGGGGCGAGTTCGCGTCTGTCGGCTTCGACCCCAACCCGACCGTCGACAGCGATCCCAAGGATACCCAGGGTATCTTGCGCGAGAAGTCCCTCTTTGAGTTCGCCAGCTACGGAACCGGTCGCCAGAATGTCGCGTTCATGGATGTCAAGTTGACGCTCACCAAGCGCTTCAACCCGGCCCTGGGCCTTGTCGAGTCCGTCTCCAGCTTCTTCATGGACGCTGTTGAGACCCCCCACGACTCCATGGAGGCTGTCATCTACCCCTTCGACGGCAAGGAATCCCTCACTGTCCCCGCTGTCCCCGGCACCCACGAGCTGCGCAGCAAGGAGAACAAGAGCACCTACGACAACTTCGTCTGGGCCGTTGTCTCCAAGGAGCGCATGAAGCAGGTTCGCGACGATCGCTACGACGTCTCCATCACCTTCACCAAGGACCACAACAAGCTTCCCAACTGGCTCACCGTTATGAGCGAGAGCGCCGAGATCACCGAGCAGCTCCTGACCCCCGAGCTCATCAAGGCCGTGGAGACTGCTGGCGATGCCCTGGACTACCTCATTGTCTCCGACCAACCGATTGAGAAGCCCACCACGTGAGTCCAAAATGCTGTGCCGCAAACCCCATGTTTCATTGCTGACAATATTTACAGCCTGGAGGAGACCACCCCCCGCAAGCGCGTCTTCCTGCGCTACCGCCTGCCGTCCAACAACAACTACGACTCCCTGTTGCCTCTGTTCGAGTACTTCGTCCGCATCCCCGACCTCCTCGTCTCGGGCGCCCACTTCCGCCCCGAGGTCCTGCGCAAGGTCCGCGTCGTTCGTGAGGAGACCATTGCCCAGATCAAGAAGGCTGCCGAGGCCGAGAAGGCCGAGGAGCGTGCCGTCGAGCGCGAGAAGCAGAAGAAGGCCAAGCGCGACGCCGAGCTCGGCGCCCTCGATGCCAAGGCCCAGAAGAAGTACCTCGAGAGGGAGCGCGAGCGCGAGCAGAAGAAGAGCATGAAGAAGCAGACCATGCGTGGTTGAGCGGCTCTGCCAAACAGTTTCCTACCTTATATAACGTTCCGACGAGAAGATCATGTCTTATGTATCTTATCTGGGTAACAGCGGCAAATGGGGGGTCGGCGGTGTCTATATCACGATTTAGGCGGGTCACGGATGAGGTTGTATAGTACATTCACCATGAAGAAAAGCGAACGGGGAGGCAAACAGCATGTGTATGTTGTGTTGTGTCAATTATAACTTAATAAGCTTCACTTTCATCTCTGGGCCGAGCATCGCTCATGTTCATCATCACATGTCATCCTACTTGTCCTGGGACAGAATACCCTCCACCCGCTTCACCTTGTCCTCGGCAGACTGCTTCTTGTCCGTCCTGTTCATCGTTAACCAAACCAAACCCCCCTAACGCCTTAAACACAAAGAAACATACCTTGAGCCAACACGCATCGAAGACTGGATCCTGACCACACCGCTCTGGTGGACGAGGGAATGCGCCTGTCCGATGACGCGGAAGACGTCGTCCCAGCTCCCCTCTTTGACGGGAAATCGTCAGTCTACCGTGCGAGCAAGACGAGCAAGACGAGCAAGAGAGGGAGAGAAGAGAACAGATGAGGGGAAGAGGGGAAAGGCGGTTTTGCCAGAAAAACTCACCGACGGTCGTGCCGGCCGAGTGCATCGTGTACTTGAGCCCGCTGGCCTTGAGGAGGCGCTGGACCTGCGCGACCTCGGCCGCGACGGAGACGCTGCCGGTGCCGACGGGGATGAGGCAGAAGTCGGCGTAGGCGGCGGCCGGGGTGGGGATGTTGGAGTAGTCCGTGGTTGTTGACGACGACATTGTGTCACGTTCTTGTTCGAAGGCCAAGGGTTTCTTCCTAGCTGTTGGACTGTGTATCTATCCGATGTTGAATGACAATCGCTTCTCCGGGCTCTAAATATAGATGGTTGAGGTTGAACTGGACAGAAACGGAAGCGCATGTACGTTATGTCGTGACTCTGCAGCTGCCGGAGCTTTGGCGTTTTGTCCAATGATGCAATGGGCGGTGGGGTTTATCTGCGCTTATGCCAACGAGGGGTCACCAACTTCACGTTTCCATTATCACATATTACGGAACCCAAAAGTCACACATCCCAAAAGTCACAAATTCTGTAATGTAGGTCTAAGATATGATTCGATCATGGTTTGTGGTATTTTCGACCAAGGCGTGACCGCGGTCAATGCCAAGGTGAACTATTCTGATGTATCCTACTTGGTTTTGTCGTAGCCCGAACTGCGGGCTTTTGTGTTCCTGAATACACATTCCTCCCAATATCGCGGGGACAAACCTCCCGCTTGAAAAAAGGCCGTCAAACATTTCCCTGTTCCTGCCGACGTGTCGGCCCAAAAACGCCATCGCTATGCAGTAAATAACACAAGAGGGTAACAGATTTTTCTCATGTCCCCAAGATTTCCCGATCCGGAAACCAGCATAGGCTTCGAACTTTCACACGCTGACCACAACTCATCGCCTTATGTCATCTGTTTAGAACAGGAAGACGGCAGCGGCGAGGAACGCGACAAGCGCGCCGGTCTCCATACCGGGCGCCCGACCGCCGAGGTTGGCGCTGCTGCTCGCCGTGGCGCTGTTGCTGCTGCTGCGCCCAGTGATCTCGGAGGACGACAGGCCGTTGAGGTTGTCGGCGGCATCGATGGCCGGGCCCTTGTCGAAGAAGTCGACGAGGACGAAGGTAGGCTTCTTGCCCCACTGTGTTGTACACGTCTGGGCGTGCAGACCAAGGTTGCCGGCGGTGGAGGTGCTGGCAGAGTTGGTGGTTTCGATGTCGCTGACGTCCGGGATGAGGATGTCGGCGGCGAGAGTCTGGTACTGGAAGTGGTTCATGAGGGGAAGCATGTTGGCAGAGACGGCCGCGGAGGCGGAGGCGTAGTTGGAGGGGCGGTCGATGGTGCAGTTGAAGCCCGAGGCGGAAGTGACCTCATAGTGCGTCTCGAAGACGTAGGAGAACTCGGGGAGGAGGTAGGGGTAGGTCGAGTCGGCGGTGATGGAGGCGACGAAAGTGACCAGGCGAGTGTCGGCCGAAATCATGCTCTGGAGAGTAGGCCAGTTCGAGGTCGCGGATGCGGTCGAGGGCTTGTAGCCGTACTTTGAGATGCCGGACGACTCGAAGACCTTGCCGAAGACGGAGGCGGCCTGGTTGTCCGAGTTAACCAGGAGGATGGTGACGACATCGTTGGTGTGAACATCCATCCAGGCCTTGATGGAGGAGAGCCAGTTCTCAAGAGTGCCGGCATCGAGGAGGGAACAGGTGGTATGGCAGAGCTGGAGGGTGGTGCCGCCGGACGTGCTGTTGACGGTGTGGACCTGGGCCTGGAGGAGACGGAGGCCGGAGTTGAGGGCAACGGTAGCGTTGTAGTACTGGTTTCCGGCGATGGAGTTCGAGGTGCTTGCGTCGCGAAGGAAAGCGCTGTCGTGAGCGCCCATGTGGGTGATGTTGTTGTACTTGCGACTGCAGAGCTCTGGAGAGTTGTTGCAAGCTGTTGTTGAGTTGGATGAGGACTCGGCGGCGTTGGAGGTTGTGTTTACGGCGTCGGAAACTGTTGATGAGGTGTCTGAGGGGAGAGCGTGTACGGCGGCAGTCGTCGCGAGCAGGGCCGCGAAGGCGTTGCGGAGTGAGACCATCTTGAGTGTTGTGTTGTGTGTTTTGTCCAAAGACTCAACCGGCCTAGAACCTCTGACTTGTTCTCAAAAACAGGACCCTTCCCTACTCTTTTATGGACTTGGTCGATGAGCGTCCCGACGATCTTTCTGGGCCAAGCACCACAACGAGGAGGTTGGCTTGCAGTGGAAACAAGAAAATGTGAGGCGGAGGAGGGTCAGGATACCACCAGGTGAGGTAAAGCAAGACAAGGGTATCAGTAACTAATGATGAAAGGCTATCCTCAAAGGAAAAGAACACAAGCAAGATAATACTGCGAGCCGGGAAACTGAACGCGAGGTGCGGTGCCGGATCCCCAGTCTTAATATGGATGACAGGAGAGGGAGCATCCTCGCAAGGCCAGGCTAAGGCTGGCAGGATGTGGTGTGTGGTGTGGCCCCCCTTGCCGCTCCTTTCCACACCTTACGTATCCCCCCGATGGAGCATCTTGGGGCTTGGGTTTCCCATTCGCCGTGGGCAGCGAATATCAGACAAAGTGCTGGTGCTGCGGCTCGTTTTGCGCAAGGTAGTATAGTATGGTAGCGTGCCTTGAAGATGTGCAGGTTCGGGTGCAGTGTCCTTGGACCCTGTTGGTTGCGCGGCCCCCAGTCCGTCACCCCGTCGTCGGGTGGGTCTCCGGGCTTGTGGGCGGGCTGCATGGCGGCATGGCGCAGTCGCGGGTTCGGTAGGTACCTACCTACCTACCTACCAAGGTGCTAGGTACTGCTGCCAAACCGCCTCTCAACCACTTTATTTTCTTGATTGTCCCTGTTGCAGTGTGGTTTCTGCTAAGCTTAGCGGCATGTCACTCGCTCTAATTGTCTCACGACCTGCCTGACTTACTTCGTCGTTCTGGAAGAACCAGAGCCGAAAGAATAGACGGAATACGATACAAGTCTCAATCTCACCTCTCGGACTTGCACAGCCACTGTCGTGCGTGCATAGAAGTCGTAGGCAGGCGTCCGTCAGCAGAGAACGGAACGTGCAGCGCGTTCGAGGACGTTTTACCCACTCGGGCTGACCACCGAGCACATCACATCACTCCGGCACTTGGTAATCGTTCTGGGTGACATCCCTAGCCCCGAATCAATGCCCGTCGCAACGCAGATCCGGCAGTGGACGACACAACGGCTTCATCAAGAGTGCTCCAAGGTGCTTTAACGTGGTCTTTGGCGTCGCGTAGTAACGCCCCCCGTCAGTCTGTCCAACGACGAGTTAAAGTGACACACGAGCATGCGACATCGAACAGACTACCATCGACCAAGGAAAAAAAAAAAAGAGACGACTATTTGCTCCACGGACTTGAGACAGTCCCAGCTAAAGAGGCGATAGGAAGTGACGGCGCTCGATGTCCGCTTGATGTCTCAAAGTTCAAAACCTGGACGAGGCACCCTAGGCGACGGACCTCCTCCATGGCTGTCCCTCCCACGTTGTCCCCTCGAGAGATGCCCGAAGATGGAAAAAACGGGCAACGAGAGACTTGACAGTTGCACCATTTCTTGGCCCAAGCACACCCACACCGGGCCCTTGCTTGACTTCCCGTCGTCACTCTTGACTTCCCGCCCTCGCTTCTTCGGCGAGCCACTACCGACCGAGCCTCGATGAAAAAAAAGCATAAACGACGACAGCCAACACTAGGCGACCAGCGCGGGCTTCTGTTTCCCTCCAACATGGCGATGACGTACACTATCTACACCGTTGGGCGTTGGCCGGCGATCACTGATGGACCGACCGAGAACAAGCGCGGCAAGTGACTGTTTCCAACCCAACCTTGTTGTTCCTTCAATTAATCCTGGTGAGGTTCTATTCTATCCATTCACAGAGCCAGTTGCAAAAATACGGGAGGTTGTGGTAGCATGTTTCCAGCCTCTGTACAGAGTATCGCGCCGATCAATAGTTGACCTCGCAACATACCGCCTCGACTGGCTGACTCGCGTGGCTGTTTTGTTTTGTTGTCTCCGTTGCCGCGAGCGATCGCGGTTGCCCAGCCGTCCAGCCCAGTATTATTCCAAGGTTAAGCTGCAAGCTTGCATCACACTGGAGAAGGAACAACGGGTACGGGTTCCAGTCGGCCGGCAGATACACCACGTACATTGAAAAAAATAGCAACAACAAAAAAAGAAGGCTTGCATCTCCAATCTTCTCTGAAGCAGCGAGCAATCTGACTGGTTGCCTCTTGCATGTGCAAAAGGAACACCAGCCACGAATCCCACGCCGTCCACAAACAAGCCGCAACCTCCTCCAAGATCCAACGACGATCATGAAAGCACTAGTCGGTACCAAACAATGGGATTCGACGAAACTCAGTGGGAACATCCAGCCATGTTCACAACTGAAAACCAGTTGAACACGACCCACGCCCCAGAACATCACCATCTGCCATCAGCACTTGCTGCACCACTGCTTCCCGTCTGACTTGATTGGATCCAATTCCGATGGAAAAAGGGAGGTTGAAGGTCTGAAGGGTGGAGTGGGGGACCCACACGCCGGGAAAGACCCTGCCACAGAAGATCGCCGCCGCCTTCCATGTTTCTATTTTTGACATTTTCCCGTGCCACCCGTCAGCGACGTACTTTTCGACCTCCTTTTTCGATGTCTCTTTTCCCCCATCACAACCTCATCGTGGTACGAATACCAGTCCAACTTGCCAGCCTTACGCCGTGCTACACAAAAGAAAACAAACTAGCATCTTGGCAAAAAGGCACAATACGATGGCCACGCAACCACCTACCTCTCTGACCCTCCCAAGGAAACCAATGAAACATGGCTCGAATGCGTTACAGACTTCTTCTTCGCAGGCGTCAGATAGCGCGCGAGCCGAAGAAGTACGGAAAAAAAAACGCAAAGACGTCGCGCGGGAAGGGCGTTGTCATCGTCGACAGGAGGGAGAAGGCGAAGAGAATCTGGATCACTAGTTCGAGGCGAAGCGACGAACCGTCGTCGTCACCCATCGTCACAAATCGTCGGTAGTCTGATCCGAACCGCTACTCAAAATGCGCACGACCTATCTCGCCCCTCCGCCACGTTCGTCCGTCGAAAATGGAGTTCCCATCTTCATGTCGCCATTACTGCACGCTGCATTTTGGGAACGCAATTGAGACAGACGTAGCGTGCCGCACGTGGCGATGTTGTTTTCCCATTCGTCGTCATCTCGAGTATCTCCAAGAGCGGCCCCTCGTATTATCCCAGAGGCAAAAAATTCGCTCTGAATAACTTCTCGCCTCGCGGTCTGGCCAGATCGGTATCGGCGCTCCGACGATTTCTTGTGCCCCCAATACCTTATGCGCTGAGCCTCCTTCGTCAGTGTCAGTCCCCATGTCACCCGACAGCCCACGGGCCCGGTAAACCGCGCCGCATCTCTGCGCCGGCACTTGCGCCCACATCCCTGTTCTTCTTTTGGAGGTCTGGACCGAACGGCCAGGACGGAACGAAGCAAGGTATCACGGGTTGCGGGCGGCTGTTGCTCTCCCCTCTGGCGAACGCCGAACCGCAGTTTATTCAATTACTAAGTCTAATGCCATGCGCCGCAGCGTGGCATAGTCGCGATTTACACGGGGGCAAGGAGGCGAGCAACGTCTGGGCGTCCCTGACGAACCTCTAGCGTCGCCATTGGTTCGGTCCCGCGTCCATTAAGCATACGTAAACCACGCTGCTAAGCCCGGCGCTCGGTACAATGCCATGGACCAGAAGTTTGAACTTCGGCGAAATAGAGAAAAGAAGAAACATACAGCTGAGTGGTCATCATTGTGGGGGAAAACCGACCAACCAGCCGCAGAGGGCCGCGTGCGATTTTCAGGGATGCCAAGCCACACCACACACACGTCGTTCGTCCTGCCATTTAGGATGCTATGCAGTGCTCGTATCGTGTTCAATGCTTTCAATGCCTCGTTGGATTATTCGGATGGGCTCTCTTCTGGTTTATCTAATTTGCATACGACTGAACCCTGGCGTGATCTTCAGTTTTTGTTTGTCATCATCATATCCGTGGTCCCCGCGACTTTTGCTCTAGGACCTCGGCTTTTGCTCCTTCTTCCTTTTTGCTCTCCTCGGTTTCTGGCTTATTCCGGGTCAGGCGCGAATCCAGACTCGGATCCGGCCGCTGCCTCCATGTCCTTGAGCGCCTTCTTGCCCTCCTCCGTCGTGGCGTCGATGATCTGCTCCTCGAGACTCAAGATGCCGGCCTGCCGTTCGTAATCTCGTTAGCCATCGCTTCATCAACATGTCATACACAGGGGATCTCCACATACCTCGCCAAGCTTGCCGACGATGTCCTCCGCCTCGTCGACCTTCATCTTGCCCAAGACCTCGTTGACCTTGTCCAGGCTGCCGCTCTCCAGCGCCGTCTGGAACTCGGGGCTGAACGCCTCGAAGATGGCGCGGCCCTCCTTGACCTCCGGGTCCTCGCTGTCCTTGGGCGGGATGGTAATCTTGATCTCCGTGCCGGGCTCGACGGCGTGCAGCTGGATCTGCTCCACGCCCTCGGGCTCGCTGGCCCTCTCCTTGACGATCTCCCGCGCGCGGTTCCTGATCTTGCCGTACGTGTCCTGCACGTCCTTGTAGAAGACGTCCTGCGCCTGGTGTCCCTTGGTCGTGATGCGCTTGAAGAACATGCCCACCCCGTCCTTGCCGAGCGCCCGGCAGTACTGCAGCAGCAGTGCCTGGTGCACGCACTGCCGGCAGAAGTCGTCCTTGCCCTCGAGCGCCGCGTCGAAGGCGAGGACGAGCAGGCCGTCCGTCTCCTTCTCCGTGAGGATCTGCGGGTTCTTGGACAGGTACGACAAGCTAGATGAGTAGTCGTCGGCCTTGATCTGCGCGAACTTCTGCGCGGCGGGCGTCGCCTCGATCTCCTCGTCGTCGCCGTAGATGTCACCGGAACTCTTGGGCGGGAGCGACTGCGTCATGTCGAAGTTGGGGTTGAGCAGCTCCGGCTTGCGCTCCGGCTCCTTGCCCTCCGACTTTGACTTGTTGACGTGCGAGCTGTCGAAGCCGGTGTGGATGCCCTCGCTCGTGATCTTGCGGCCCTCCTCCTTCTCGAGCTCCGCCAGCTTGGCCAGGAGCTCCTTCTGCAGGCCCTGCACCTTCTTGAGGTGTCCCTCGACGCCCTCCAGCATGCCCTTGTAGCGGTTCTCGGGCTTCTTCTCGTCGAGCTCCTTGTTGACCTGGTCGAGCAGCACGGCCATCATCTTGGAGAAGGTGGGCAGGGGCTCGGACTCGGCGTGGATGCCCTCGGGGCGCGGGGGCGGCTGGTCGTCCTCGGGCTTGCCGGCGGACTCCATGACGGCCTGGAAGGCGACCTCACCGGGGCTGCGGGTCTCGGCCTCGTCGGCGTGGGACTTGAGGGCGTCGAGGAGGGCGGATATGCGCTTCATGAGGCCATCGTTGATGATGCGCTCGTACTTGAGCGTCTCGATCTGGTGCTTGCGCTGGAGGCGTTCCTGGTGGATCTGGTTCTGCTTGGCGCGGATGAAGGAGCGCTTGTCGACGTTGGGGTGGACTTCGACGTCGGAATCGTCGCTGAGCTCCAGCGCGTCCTAATGTTGTTGTGGTTTGGTTAGCAGAGGGAGGGGTCGACCGCGACGGGAATTGACGGCGGCTTGAGCGGTGCTTACCCATTTACTGTAGTTGATTGGCATCGTGGCGGCTGTTTGACGATGCAAATCTGGGCCTCGATCGGTGAAGTTCAAATCGTTCTGGTTGTGACGTGTGGAATATTCTGGATGTTGCTTGACAATGGGTTGGCAGTTAGTGGTGAGCCACTACGGAGCATCACAAGAAAGTGCGGGGCATTATTACCCCGCCGTAGCACACGCCTGCTGGAGGGTGCGACCGCTCACATCAGCTATGAGGTCAGCAGGGACCTCGCAGCTACAATGAAGACGACCCGAAATCTTTCTTTCAATTTTCTTTTTCCACGTTTGCAACAAGTCGCTAGATACCAACATGCTTAAATAAGAACTCTACTTGCATCGAATCCCGGGTTTGCAGCAATTCCAGGCCGAACGTAACCCCTCTGGTTACTCAAGATCCTCACCCCTTCAACCACCGAATCGGTCGAAAAATGCGTATGCCCAAAAACCCAACAGCGAACGCGACTCCAGTCCCCATCAGACAGCAACCCGGTAGCAAAAGCAGATGCCCACGGACTACCCATATGCCTAGGCTCCGACGTACTCTCCAAAGAAGGCGCGTGATGCGTGACCACAACCACCGACCTATCCTCCGGTAGCTCGCGCAACTCTTCTTTCAGCCAAGAAACGTCCCCGAAGTGGGCCGCGTTGTGGACGTCGACGGTCCACCCCCCAATGTGCCTGAAATCCTTGACCTTGCCCTCGACCGCCTCTCTCGCCTCATCCGGGACCAGAGACCATAGAGTGCACCCCAGAACCGTGGCATCCGAGCCCGGAATGTCGAACCTGCCTCGGTGCAAGACCCGGAGCTTGGATCTCAGACACGGCTCGGCCTCGAGCTTTCGCGCCGTGGCGATTGTGGCCTCGTAGTCGAGGCCGTGGAACTCGTGGTTGCCGAGGACGAGGAGCACGCCGCCCTCAAAACGATCCGTCTGGCGACGAATGAATGCAAGGTATTCTTCGTAGTCGGCCAGGCTGCCGACATCCCCGGCAATCAATAAGTAAAGGGCCTCAACGGGGAAGTCGAATGTCGAGTATTGGCAGCCAAGTTCTAGGTGTAGGTCTGATATGTACTGGATGATGCCAGCCTTTGTTGACATTTTGAAATATTGTGTATGGTACCTGGGGTTGTCCTGGATCTTGATTTGACTCTGCAGCGACTCCGACCACAGTCAGGGCAAGGTCCTGCTCTTTGTTACCTTACCTAATCATGGGTCTTCTCGGATGGGCTTGCTCAACTTCGTGTCAAAGATATTCAAAGGATCTGAATGGGTCGTAACGCTCTAAAGATGCATATTCACGTGCGGTAGTGCCTTTGACACTCCACTTCAACTCCTCTTGGGAGTCATGAGACTAATACTATCATATGATACATACATTTCGCACACAGTATTTCGTAGTGAGTACAGGGTTGCAAAGAAAAGGCAGTTTATGCCTCTTTGCCAAAAGAGCGTCCAAATCGCTCTTAACAAAATCTAAATGCCAAGCCAAACTCCATGCGTATGTGCCGTTGGAGTCTTTGTTCCCAAGCCATCAGAGCAGTGGTTCTGCCCCTCACTGCATGGTCTTCAAGAAACCATCCAAGTCGAAACTCTCCTCGTACTGACTGTTGTCCCACAGCTCGCCGAGGTCATCCAGCCAAGCCTTCTTGCCAGGCTGCTTGCTTGTGACCACGTCGCCTGTCTCAATGTCCACCATGTCCTCTTCTCTGCCCTCCATTGCGTTCTTTGGCTTGTCTGATATAAGACTGGGTCCTGTGTCTCCCAAATTGAATAGGTCCAGAATTTGATCTGTATCCATCGTGGATAAGCCGGCGTTCTGTTGATTGACGACTGTTGAGGCGACATCGATCTTGAACCGCTGGAGACTAAGGATCTTCTCCTCTAGCGTACCTCTCGTAATGAGACGGTACACATTGACAACCTTCTTCTGTCCAATGCGGTGGGCGCGGTCCATGGCCTGCATATCCTTTTGCGGGTTCCAATCATGCTCGACAAAGATGACGGTGTCGGCACCAGTCAGGTTGAGACCAAGACCTCCAACACTGGTCGTCAACAACAAGACATCGTACGATGGGTCGCTATTGAATTTGTTGACAATGTCTTGTCTCTTGTTTGCTTCAACTGAACCGTCGAGGCGCAGGTGTGAAACTCCCGGCAACATGGTCTTCAAAACGGTATTCTGGACCATATCTAGCATCTCCTTCATTTGACAGAAGATCAGGGCGCGATGAGGCTTGATCGGTTGGTACAGAGGGTCATTGGACTCGGCTTCTTCCACTCCAATACCGCAGTCGACGAGAAGATCTCTCAAGGCAGTCAGCTTGGGCGCGTGGACAGGGTCCTCCAGACTGGTTCCTTGCTTATTGAGGATGCGCTGAGTCTCGTCGTACATGCTGTGATTGGGTTTCATAACCATGGCAGGTGAGTTGCAGAGCTTCCTCATGTACTGAAGAGCCTGGAAGATGTGTGACTTCGCATCCTTGTCTTCGCGGCCGGCCTCTTCCTGGAGCTTCTTGCCCTGCTTCCTTGTGAAGTCGTCAAACAGCTTTTTCTGAAGATCACTCAGATCGCAGTAGTAGTTCTGGAGAATCTTCGGCGGCAAATCGTCCAACACCTCTTCCTTGAGACGTCGCAGGAGGAAAGGAAGGACTTGCTTGTGGAGGGCCTCGATGGCCAAAGCTCCGGCTTCTTGTTCCTTGGAAGATGCCTTGCTGAATCGACTGGCTGCAATCGGCTTGGCGAACCGGTCTAAGAACACCTTTTCGGCACCGAGGAATCCCGGCATCAAGAAATCGAACAGAGACCAGAGCTCCAGAACGTTGTTCTGGATGGGAGTACCGGTCAGGATGAGGCGGTGGTTGCTTGCCAGCTTCTTGACCGCGATCGTGATCTTTGCCTTGGGGTTCTTGATCAGGTGACCTTCATCAAGGATGACGTAGTTCCAGTTGTACTTGGCGAGGATGTCTGCATCGTTGCGACAGACATCATAACTGGTGATCACGATGTCCGTCTTGTCTAAGCCATCCTTCATTGTCTTGCGCTCAGCAGGTGGCCCGACGTAGGCCGTGACGCTGAGGAAGGGAGCGTATGTCTTGATCTCTTGCTGCCAGTGACCAGACAGCGTAGGGGGGCAGACAACCAAAGATGGCAGACGTCGGACATCTGGAGCGCCGGTCTTGGCAAATTCTTCGGCACGCTGGTGGTGATCGCTGGCGACCATGCATATTGTTTGCAAGGTCTTGCCGAGACCCATGTCGTCGCACAGAATGCCGTGCAGGTGATACTTGTTGAGGAAGTGTAGCCAGTTGACACCATCTTGCTGGTAAGAGCGAAGCTCGGCTTTGATGGCGACAGGAATTTGGAAGTTTTCCACCTTCTTGGGGTCAAGGAGTTGGGAAATAAAAGTCCTTTCGCGATCTCTGCCCTTCAATAGCTCCTCAGACAACCCTGGAGGATCAGGGATACCGGCCTCAAGTGGCACCAGCTTCACCAAGGTGGCGAACGAGGTTGTTGCAATCAAGCGAATCTCGTTATCTGAGTCGCTCATGCGACCGAGAACCGGGACGATGAGGAAAATGACGTAAGGTAGAATGGCATCGCCCATGACAGCAATCAGGTGGTAAATGGCCTCGATGGCACCTTGGCGGAAGTTGAGGTCTATGGGGTTGGTGATAGACGGCAGGACCTTCTCGACGAGTGCTGTCATACCCTCCACAGTAATGACACTGCAGATGGTAGCCATGCACTTCGCCGCCATGTAACGGAAGACAGAGAGCTCAGAGTGCAAGGCTTTGATCACAAGCGGCACCTTTTCCATGATGAACGGATGGATAGCTTTGTCGAGAGTTGGCATAAGAGTTCGAATGAGGGATAGGGCGTCGACAATTTCTTGGCCGAAGGTGTCCTCGGGATCCCGTGCTTCGGCTGGCAGCGCACCGGAGAACGCCTTAATGAGTGGCTCCTCCATGAACACTCTGACTGTTGGAACTGCAGTGAGCAGCTCGGCGCCATAAGTCCGGGACAAGATTTCGAGTGCCTCCTTCGCGCCGCGACGAGTGATGCGCGCCGCCTTAACTTCCTTCGCCCACTTGGCAGCGTCTGCGTGATCGACCCTGTCTTCTTCCTTCTGCATGGAGAGAACGCAGTCTGTCTTGCTCGCATGGACCGGGAATTCAGGCGTCTCTGCCACCTCAACACAGGAAAACTTGATGAGGTTGGACACCACCTTGTCGGCAGGGCCACGGCGGCCCTTCTCATTAAACAGCTGAACAAGACCGGCGATGGTTGCGGAAGAACGGTTCTGGAGTTCTTGGTTCTCTTCTGTCTTGATGCTGTCCATGATTCCCTTGATGAGAGGACTTGGCTTCTTGGGAAGCGCCTTGATGGCAACCAAAGCGCAAGCCGCGGCAGCCTTAATGCGCACGTCGCGGGCGTCTTTGGCAGCCTTGGCGTCAGAAATGGCCGAAGCAGCTACGTCTCTGGCCTCGCCGAGTTGCTGGCTTGCCACCAAACGTTGTCCGGGTGACATGGCCTTCTTGAGTTTGTCGAAATCTTCGCCGACGACCTTGTCCGCAACAGCGATAGAGAAGGCGCCGGGACCGGCCTGTTCATCGCCTTGGACTAGAACTGCAAGAGTAGGCAGTCGTCCGCTCGAAACCTTGCCGTGGTCGCGGAACATGTTCAGGAGTTGCTGGCATTGGGAACGCACGCGGTGCATGTAGCTGACCAAATCACCGTAGTGGGAAGGTCGCTCCGCCTCGATGATCTTCTGCAGAGGAGCCGTGAATCTTTGAGCGCCCTCGGTCGTGGCGCTGTTCTTGGCGTATTCGTCGATGACCATGCAGGAGCTGAGCTGCGTGGACGCGTTCCTGTCGGTGAGACCGCCGAGGATGAGCTGATCATACTCAGACAGGTGTGTGGCTGGTATGAAGGACATGATCAGTCCCATAGCCTTGGCTGCCGAAACTCTCGAGCGGATTAGCGTGTCCATGCCAACGAGATCAACATCGCCCTGGATCATGTGGCCGTCCACGTCGTGTGTATGAGTTGTAACGGGCGCGTCGTCTGTTTTCGCAGACTTCCGGCGTCGCTTCGTAGCCCTTTCAGGCCCTTCAGGAGACGATGCCTTGCGCGCGGGTGTTGCAGTGACGGCTGTGTAGGTGCCACCTGAGGGCCTCTGGAAGAGGTGCGCAGGCATTGGCAAGGGATGTCTTGAGACGCCAATCGGGTGCAGGGTGAGTCTCATGAGAGGTTCGACGTGAGCGGCGAACTCATCAGCCAGTACTTCAGGGGTCTTCGATAGAGAACGAACAAGCGCCGACCAAACATCGATGGACATGGCGAGCGTTTCCCTGTCTCTCTCGACAAGGATGTTCTGAAAGATGAGTCGTAGAATCCTTCCATTCAGCCAACCTCGAGAATTCTCCGCGCCGAGGTTTGCGAACGTCATGAGGGCCTTCAAGACGGCCAAACGGACCGAGGTAATGGTGTGTCGCAGGAAGGGGTAAAGTCGAGGCACCAACAAAGTAAAAGAACGCTCCTCGTCCTGTGCGGCAGATGTTTCCATGGCCTTTAAGACTTCAGGGTAACTGCAGAGCGTTGCAAGAAGGTCCATGATCTTGCCAGTACTGGCGCTCAAGTCATCGCCGAGATCTGCGAGACTGCCCCACATGATGTTGATGAGGCCATCAATGGAGGCGGGTCGCATGGTTACAAACTCCTTTGCCATTGGCAGTAGTGTTGCGGCGCTGACCGACCTGACATCGTCATCATGTTCTTCCAAACCCTTCATGACGAGGCGGACGACTCCATCGATCATCTCGCCATCCTCCAGAAGAAGATCCTTCCTCACAGCCACGACGTAGCGGAGGCCGACCATGCCACCATGGCATACAGACCATTGGAGCATTTCCAGATGCAAATCGTCCTGCATTACCATGCGATAGAGCAGCTTGTAAATGCCGTGGACTGACTCAGCCGGAACATGACGGAGCACTGAGCCAAGGGACTGACCAATGGTTTCGCGAATAGGTGCAACGGAGGTATCTGAGCTGTAATCGGTGAATCTGTCCAGCATCAGGACGCAGCAGAGTCGGCAA